AAAAGATATAACCTTAACTTTTAATGTCAATTCATTATGTATATAATGTAACTAGTATCTGGAACGTGTGTTGCACGTTTATCCCTTATTATTTTTATTTAAAAAAATTATATTTATAAAGTTCAATTATAAAATAAGAAATGCAGAAATTAACAATTTTAATTCTGATTTAGTCTCTAATGATATGGATATGCCGATGAATAGCTATTTTTTTTCCAGATCAAACAACTCAGTTATTGAAGTAGTTTACAATGAATTTCTACTCGAAAAAATAATAAATACATGTAAAAGTCTTTGACGAAAGTAGCAAAGACATGAAGAAGAAATAAATTTAATTCTAGTTATTGCTGAAATCACAAATATAAAGAATATTTTTCATTTTATTTTTTTTGGTGCTTATATGAATTGCATTCTTCTTTTTTATATATACAGTACTATTCTTCAAATGAAAAAAGAAAAAAAATTAACGAACATTATTCTCCGTGGTTAATATTTTCGAATATCTTTTGACCACTCTATTTGATCTTTGTTTCCATAAGATGCAAATTAATTATATGAACCAAAAGATTAACTTAAGAAATTGGAATAAATAGTTCTAATTTAAAGATATATAATCATTCTTTTTTCATATCAAGCACTATACTGCTAAACATATTAAGATTGAGGCTTAAACCACACGTACATATATAAAAACAAAAGATATACGTGGAAAAAAAGAATCTCTAGCAGAATGAAAATGATTGAAAGAAAACTTATTGTATACCTTTATAGAGTTTTGTAATGTAAAGAATATGAAAAGGTTGTGGGAGAAAATTATTAATGAAGAAATTATATAAACATTGATCAACAATAACTAAGAAAAATATGATTAGAAACGTTTTTTTGGATTGTAATCAAGGAAAAAAAAGATTGTAATCAAGGAGATTATGACTGTCCATCTTCAATCTTTAAGTATTGAATTTAGTGTGAATCATTAAGTGTTGTTGGAATGAGTTTAACTGGAGAAACTAAAAGGATCAATAATTAAAGCTCAACAAAAAATACAAAATTGTTTAGCATTTTCTAATTTAAAAAATTAGTGAAGGGCATTTTAGTAATCCAACTTTGAACTCAAAATCTTCCCACTTTTAATATAAAATATGATTATAAAATGTTTTGAAAATGAAATGTGTTAGTATTAATCAAATTTTAAGTTATTTTTTGCCCCTCACATGTGTTCAAGAGAGTGAGCACGCTCTTTGCACCACCTTAGCACGCTATCTGCACCACCTCAGCACGCTCTTTATGTCACGTTAGCATCTGCGAGTATATTTATTTATAACAAAAATATTTTTATTTGTAATTGAATTTTGTTACTCATTACATACATATTTTTATTGAATTATAAATGTTCTAAATAATTTTAAAATTATATATATGAAACACACGTGCAAAGCATGTGCCCAGAAACTAGTAATTAAAATGAAGCCAAAAAGGCCAACTAAGCAAACAAAAATGACATGTGTCAATATTAATCATTCTAAGTTTATTTTTCCTCCTTCCTCACATGTGTTCAAGAGAGTGAGCACGCTCTTTGCACCACCTTAGCACGCTATCTGCACCACCTCAGCACGCTCTTTATGTCACGTCAGCATCTGCGAGTATATTTATTTATAATAAAAATATTTTTATTTGTAATTGAATTTTGTTACTCATTACATACATATTTTTATTGAATTATAATTGTTCTAAATAATTTTAAAATTATATATATGAAACACACGTGCAAAGCATGTGCCCAGAAACTAGTAATTAAAATGAAGCCAAAAGGCCAACTAAGCAAACAAAAATGACATGTGTCAATATTAATCATTCTAAGTTTATTTTTCCTCCTTCCTCACATGTGTTCAAGAGAGTAATTAAGCACGCTCTTTGCACCACCTTAGCACGCTCTTTGTGTCGCGTCAACATATGAGAGTGTATTTATTTATAACATTTTTCAGACAAAACCTAAGATTGCGGCTAGTAAGACAGAAAAGAGTAGAAGTGCAGCTGACAATTTTTGTTGAAAGAGAAAATGGAAAACAAGAAAAAAAAACATCAGATATGGATATCAGCACTAGTGAGGAAGAAAATGAGTTTGTGTAGTGATTGAGAAAACAGCAGGAAGAGAGGGGAGTCTAAAATGTGTCATCAGTGTAAGAAGAGTGACAAAGACAGACTTGTGTGTTGTCCCAACTGTAAAGATAAAACATTTTGCCTTACTTGCATCAAATGATGGTAAAAATTTAGACGTTGATTCAGGATTTAAACTTGAGATGTTAATCTTCCTCATCACGAGGGGGACTTGATTGAGATTTTTTGGCCAAAGATACACTTTTGATGATGTAGGCATATTAATCCTACTTTTTGGAGGGAATGGAATATTTGAATATCATTTTGAGAGTTTTTGATGAAATGTGGGATAATCATTGGGAAAATTGTATATAATAGCAAACTATTAATTCAAATTAAATGCTATAAATATAGTTTGATTTAATTGTACCCCATAGCAAACTGTTGCTATTTCACCTCTCTGCTGGTGAATCTCGCTCGCCACTCTCGTTCTCTCTCTCGCCTCTCTCGTTTTTTATACAAACGCAAGTGTATAAAGTGCGTTTGTGTTTGTATAAAGCGAGAGAAAATTGTGTATATACATATATTTTCGTTCCACTCTCCCAGATCTCGCCTCTCTCACTTTATACAAAACGCAAATGTATAAAATGCGTGAAAATTGTATATATACATATATTTTCGTTCCCCTCTCTCCCCTCTCCCAAATCTCGCTCACTCACTCGCCTCTCTCACTTCATACAATTGATCTTTTTGTATATGTATACCAAAACAGATTATACAACTGCTTTCTTTTGTATATGTATAGCGAAATATACATATTTATGTTTGCTATGGAGCGCAATTATGCAAACTTTGCTATAGCATACAAATATGAATTTTGTATTTGCTATATGTGAAAGTTGCTCATAATCATTTGCATAAATGCCAAAATCTTCTTCCGTTTTGGAAAATCTGTTGTTCATCTTGTATTCTTAAGATACTCAGAACAAAAAACTTTGAAAAACTTGGTAAGAAACAACAAAGTTTAAAGAGTATTTTCAAAACTAGGAAATTAAAACCAGTAGAGAAAATAGATCAGAAACAAATTAGAAACAATATACAAAATATTTTTTTCAAAGAAGAAAATTGAGTCAACTGAATGCACGGTGTCCCCTTAAGGAAATTATTCCCCTCAAGTACCCGAGGTTAATGGAATATATTCTCCCAGGATAGAATGATCTTATTCACCGGTGTATCGATATCTAAAATCAGGGTGTCAGTTAACCACTCAACGGCAGTAAAGTACACTTAGAACACTAGATTTAGTAGTAGAAAAAGAGGTCCAGATTTCCTTGTTGAAAAATAAGAGGAAATCCTCTATTTATAGACAACAAAGGGTAGTATGACCATATGTTTATTATGCCTTATCAGAAAGGTCACAACCCTTTGAAAAATTACAACCCTTCGAAAAGGTCACAACCTTTCACAAAAGGTAGAATGTTAGTAAGTTGAACGTTGTCTAAATTTTCATTTAGTATTGTTATTATTATTACTCTCCAAATATCTTATTCTTAGATTTAAGTATTACTTATTGTTTCCTTTTCTTCAATTATCGTATTATTTTGTCATCACTATTGTCATCTTCTTCACTGTTTTTTATCATGACCGCTTTTTGTTATTATATTTACTTTACTTACTTGTGTTTTTTGTTGATATGCTTTACTTGTCGAAATTCTATCGAAAATTACATTAGATATGTTATTGTTATTGTTGTCTTATTTTAATATATGAATAATTTCCTTTTTAACTAGCAATGAAACGACATTTGATTGTTGATTAGAGTTATGCATATATTAATAATACAAAAATCTATCATGTAAAATTTATTCATGTATTAGTTATATCGTCTTCTACGTTCATAAACATAAACTCTCGCATAACTTATATATATATTAATTTTACAAAAAAAAAATTATAGTAATATTGGAAAATGGTCAAAACTATTCGAAATAACTTAAATATACCCTTAAACTATATTTTAGATAAAAAAAAATGCCCTTCCCGTCTAACTATTGGACCAAGAGTGCCCTTCCCATCTAACTGTTAAACAGAAGGGCACTCTTGGTCCAATAGTTAGACGGGAAGGGCAATTTGATCTGAAATATAGTGTAAGGGTATATTTAAGCTATTTCAAATGATTTAAGGGTAATTTTAACCCTTTCTGTAGTAACAATACTATATTTTATATGAAAAATAAAAAAAACTAACCAGACATTATAAAATTTATATTATGCTAGATTCTACGTGACGATCATTTTTACTTATTTTTATAACCAAATAATATACGTAAAATTATGCTAATTTTAATAGGGAAAAGGGTCTGAAAAATAGTTCAATTTTGGCCGAAATTGTTGTTACGATACCAAACATTATGGAGGACCTTTTACCCCATGTACTATTTAATAGTGTATTTTAAAGGTATATATGTGTTCACGTGGACACGTTACTATTTATAATTATGCAATATTTATGATGTTATATACCTTTAAAATACACTATTAAATAGTGCATGGGGTAAAAGGTCATTTCTAAAATTTAATATCGTTACAACAATTTCGATCAAAATTCAAATATATTTCAAACCTTTTCCCCATTTTAATACATAAATAACTCCTCTCTAACCAGCAACCAAACGCTCCTTTAAGTACTTTGTACTCTGTGTGTTAGGGTGCACGGTAATTAATGAACCTTAGCCAATCAAATCATCACACATCACACTCACCGCTTCATTTAAGAGCGTGAAATACACGAACAATCTGATTTAAACTGTCTTTGAACTCTCAACAATCCACGTCAGCACGTGTTGTACACTTTCCAAAAGATGCGACTGGTGTTACCTCTCGTCAAATTCAAAAACATCTAAGGGTAGTTTGGACATGGCACTGTGACACCACCACCTCCATCTTCTCCCAAATCAAACCCTAGCTTTGCTTTTTTTCATATCAAGATTGAGTTTTTCTATTAAAAAAATTGTGGGGTTTGTGAATTATCCATTAAAGGTTTGATCTTTACTTGAATTCTTGATTCTTGATTATGTTATCATTGATTTTTCATTGATTTGCTTTTTGGGTTTTTGTTTTCTGCTTGAAACACAATTATTTGAAATGGGTATGAAGAAATGAAGAATCTTTTTCCTTTTTTCTTATCTAAGGGTAAGCAGAATATTTCTAATTTCCAGATTTTCATTTTTCATTTTTTTAAAAATTGCACCCTTTGCTGAATTGTAACATGGATCATTAATGGACTTGGGAGATAGTGATTTTGTTATCTATAGTAGTATCTTGTGTATGAAAGATTTACTCTTTGTGGTTATATGTGGACGGTTTGTGTATACTCTACCCTCCCCGGACTTCACTATTATTATTGTTCTTGTGTTTGTTATTTTTGTGTTGTTAATTATGATATGTTGATTTGATTCTGCACCTTATATGATCTGTGGGGGTAGTTATTGTTTCGGTATGTTTGTCCACTAATGTGATATAGTTCGCGGCTGTGTTGTGCAGATTATGGATCATTTGAGTAGTGATAATCAATGGGATATTCCTGATACCCCTAATAGATTAGCTGCTAAGGATATGAATGGGAGGAGGTATGCCAATGTAGAGAGTGATTTGTCTGCATCAGGGAATTCAGTAAATGGGAATGGTGCTGCTGAGAATGGGAATCAACTTATTGATAATGGTTTTGGAAGAAAAAGGTTGTTTATGCGTCCTCCAAGAAGAATTTCCAGGAAATCTGAATGCGATGCGAAGTCATCAGCTTTTGGTATGGGAGATTCTTTGCCTTCAAGAAATGGTGTTCCATTCAAGGTTTCCTCAATTCCTAATTCCAAGGAGAAACATAACTTGCATCTTGCTAAAAATGGAATCACAGAATCAAAAAGTCAGCAAGACCGTCCTGTCATAGACCTGACAAAGCAAAGTGGGTCGTCGACTCGTGTATTTGTCAAGTCTCCTGCAGTTGGAGTACAGAATATTGGTCGAGATGAAAAATATAGATCGATGAATGAACACTCTAATTTTCACAGGATGACTTCCACACCATCCAGCAGTACCAGCAAAGGAAAGGAAATTGCTGATCTAGTTAAACTTGGTTTAAATAAATCTCGTGGAGAAAAGGATTCTGCCATTGATGCACAGCTTGGAGCTCGAAAGGATGGTTCTACATCTCTTGCTAACTCACCAAGAGTAACTGGGCAGAAAAGATTGGTCCGAAATGGATGTATATCCCCTATGAACATAGCTAAGGCTAAAAAGCCAGCTGAGATGGAGGATAACAGTATTTTAATCCATGGGCTAACTGATACCAGTCTTACAGCATCATCCGCTGGTACAAGCTCAGATAGTGCTAAAGAAATAATCTCTAAAGATGGTATTTCTACAGTAAAGGGTAACGGGGTGGTAATCCATTCTTCCCCTTCAAAAGAAGATGACACAATACATACGTCTAGCAGGTATGTATTTGGTGAACATTGTCTATATATTCACATGAAAGATGGCTTTCATTCTTTTCTGTCAACAGTTTATATCAAATTTACTAGGCTGTTCAAATAGGGAAAAAGGACTTCTGTTTTATATCATGTATGACGTATTAGCATAGCGTGCATGTCAGGATGTCCTATAGTGTAAGCTAATGACTTCCGTACCAAGGATCTACACTTTGATAATCAACATGGAACCCAGTTAAGCTTGTTTTCGTGTATGGATTGATGCATGGATTCAAACATTTGCGCCAGTGATGCATCTGAATTCAGATTGTGACCTCATTCTAGTCATTTTACATTATTACTCATAATCATACTTCTCTATCCGAGGGTCTATCGGAAACAACCTTCTCTAACCCACATCCGTAGGGTGAGTTTTGCGTGCATCCTACCCTCCCTAGACACCACTTGTGGGATTACACTTGGTACTCATAATCATACCTAAGTTTGTGTGAAGCAGTTATTTTACCTTTGTCCTCTTTTTATCAATGTCATAAAAACTTGCTATTTGGTTAGGTAATTTAAGTTTCTTCACCATTCTTCATGATTTAGAGATGCATATTCTTATTCTATGTTGTTAAGAATTGTGATGTTTTTAGAAACCTGCTAAAAAAATTTCTTTCAATTCAGAAGCATGCTTTCTGGGTTCCTTTACTTTTGACTGTTGATTAATTATTGCCCTGGTAAAGGTCTCATCCAAAAGTTTTTTCATTGGAAACCAGTGATTCCAGTAGAGATGTGTTCAGAAGCTTTGACGAATCAGGAGGATGGAGAAGTACGCGTAACCGCAGTTCAAATATGAACTTGTCATTGCCCAATCTGCACAGGACTTCAGAAAGAGATAGTGCACACTTTGTCTCTCATCCCAGTGGGAGTAGGGTGATGAGAAGAGATGATGCAACTAGTTGTCAAGATTCAGCTTCTATTAGACATCTTTCTGGTGTATCTGCAGGGCCGGAGGGACCCCCTTCTGGACCTCAATGTCGCCAAATTAATGGACATCATACTGCACCAAGCACAGTTAAGAAAAGACTAAAGGAAGGACCTGCCTCAAGCAGCCATGGTGAATGTTCTACATCAGTCTCTAAGGATGTAGACATCATTTGCCTTACCTCACCTGAAAGTAGGGTTAATACAAGGTCCACAAGAAACCCAAGTCATGTAGGTACAGGCGTAGAACCAGTGATTGTAGTGGACAGTCCTTCCTCTACCACAAGACATGAAGGCTCTCGTGTTGCGTGTAGCAGTAGTAGGAATGAAGATGCTAGAGCCAGTCAAGTAGATGCTGATGAAAGGCTTGCACGGGAACTCCAGGAACAGTTGTACAATGAGGTCCCTTCCTTTGGTGTTGGTGAGGTAGTACACTTTATGCAGAATAGTTTTAGTTATTGTCCATCAATATTTAGCTGTTCTTGTCTTCACACCATGCTTAGATGTTTGATAATTTTTCTTTTCTTCCCAACAGATTGATGAAGATGTAGCCTTGGCTTTAGTGCAGGAGGATTTCCGACGTGCTTCCTCTGGATTAGAGAACCAATTATCTGGTCTTGTATGTTGGCTTTCCTTACATTTTATTCTCCTCTTGTACTTTCCATCACTTGGTAGTAATTTATGTGCCACTTAGGTCTAATATCGATATTGTCATCTGACAATCAGATATCTATACATGATGTTCATGTTTGAAAGCTTTATTATGCGGTGTTCCAAGTTAGAAACTGATTTTAAATTTCCTGTTAAAATAGATCTTGGGACACTAGGTTTTTCTTTGACATTAATATTGAACCATCTTTTTTTCTAGTATCAGTACTTATGATGGTGCATATGGAACCTAATTTATCTTCTCAGATGCGAGGTGTAGCATTGTTAGAGTCTAGCTTGCTGGGAAACCTTGAAGCTAGTAGTAGTGTAGGCTGGGTACATTGTGACACTTAAGCAACAAATACATATACCTGAAGATAGTGATATATGAAAATTAGAAATGTAGTAATAGAAAGTACTCACTATAATTGAATTGGAACTTAAACTTCATCATTGCTTATATAAAAAACCTTAAACCATATTGTTACTTAATATGTATATTTTTTCAGATTACACCAAAAAGTTAAAGACTTAAAGGTTTTACAAATCTAAGTTTTATGAAACTTAGTGTTTCTGCCTTAGTTAAAACATCTACTGTTCCTAGCTGCTCTCTGAACTGTCCAGAATGAGGATATGGGGATAGTGTTTCGAAGTGTTATGAGCTGCTTCTTGATTTTCAGCCCTCCGGCTAGCAAAAGTATATCTAGCACTCCAAAGAGATTAAGGAACCTTTCCCCATCCTGGTATGCATGCGTCAGGCATGCTTCACACATAGCAATCAAACCAGATTTGAATACTTTAGTGGTGCTCTCTTTCTACAGTATTTCTAGGGTCATGGTTCCAGACTTGATGAGTAGTTTGTGACAAGACTTCACAGAAAAGTAACCATTGTTCTCTTTTCCAGATTGATGAACCTGGTTAAGAAGAAAGTTCCTTCGTTCTCTCCATTTCTGTTAGTAGCCGAGCTTACCAGTCAAATTCTTAATCCTATAATTTCTTCTACTTATCCCAAAAAAAGAAGAAGTCTGAGTCTAATGTCCCATTTATGAATTTGACACTCATCTGCTGTAGCCAAAAGTATGTGGCAAAAACTAAAGATCAGGAAGGATTTCCTTTGGTGGGAAAAGATATGTTACAGGTTTTGTGCCAATGTGTTCTGATAATGCTACAACATGAGAGGATGTTACGGGTTTTGACCAAGCGAACAAGATCTGTTACTGGTATTGTGCACTGGGACCTTCCATACTCCTGTAACATACCTAAAGACCTTATCATTCTCTATAGAATTTCCATAGCCATAAAATATTCACCTATTACTACACAATTGCAAACTCAGATTGTTAACACCTTGACCATCTTCCTTCTTAGATGCTGTCACTGCTTACCACTTTGGCAAGTAGAATTCCTTTGCAGAATCACCTCCCAATATAAAATCAGTTCTAAACTGATTTAGCTTCCTTTCTACTCTTTCAGAAGTAGGGAAGAACATGACACTATAGCATTGACCAAGGATATGAAAATCTAAGGTTTTCATTTTACTCTTTTAATTTGTTGGTATTTTAGTATTGTCCATCTTATGTATCTTTCAAATGTTAAATATCACTGATTAATGAAGAAGTTTTTCTCATTAATCTCCTGGTTTTAGAGTGATCTTATATCAATGTCTTTCAAAATGTGCATAGAAAAAAGGCCTTTTAATTCCTAATCTGCTTTCTTCCTGTAATGATTGGGCTTTGATCTCTGACTGAAATCCTCTCTTTTTCCTCTTGTCTAATTTTTGGGATGTGGGTATTGTTGTTTAGAATGGATCATCGGTCACAAACTTACGCAGAAGGCAACCAAGAAATGCATCCAACATATCTCGTAGAGCTTCTCAAGCTCGGGCGTCTACCTCGAATAGGATGACAAGGTTGAGGAACAGTTTCCCTGGACAACCTCGTACTATCTCATCATCTAGAGGAAGAAATTCACTGTTTCCTCCTAACATGGATGTAGACATGGTATTATTACTTGCACTTTTCCTCATGATTTTGGTCATTAATATAATATTTAGTCAGCTGAAGTCGTATTTTTTGTCATTTTACATGCTGCTAGTGTTCATTTGGTGCAAGTGACGGGTTTTTAAAAAAAAATTACTGATGAAGGCTACACATCATGACGTTTAGTTTCTATTCTATTGAGGTTGCTCATTTTGTAATAGGGAAGACTGAGATAATGTTAAGCAGCTGTCTTGAACACTAGCAAAGAATGGATTGGCAATGGGGCAATTGAATCCGAATCTCAGTTTGAGAGTCACTAGTCTATAGAATTATAAACAGTCAAATAGAAAGAGAGGAATAGAATTGTCTTTTCAACAGTGCCCATATGGATATATAGATGTGATCATTTGAATGGACAAATACAAACACTATTTTCAGGGGTGACTGGCATTGCCTAATAACTTCACACTTTGCCCTGCAGTGCAAAATATAGCTTTTAGAGATAATACGTGTGCAATTAAATCTATCAGTGATAGCTCCGCCAATTCTCAGATTATATAATATAAAAAATCTCAGCATGCATTTTATGTTAGCAGGACATCTCTCATTGAACCTAAAGCTCAATTTAGAAGCTCTTTATACTCTCTTGTGGGTCTCCTGTGGCCTGATTGATTCTTCTGGTGTGCACTTTATGTTCTATACTTCTTTTCGAAGACACCATCAGATTTTTCAGAACAGAACTTCAGTGTCAAGAAGATGCTTTTTCCACCTAACTTAATAATTGTATCATTTGACAAAATGATGGAAATGGGAAATGTCTAATTGCTGATGATATATTTGCTTAATGTGTGTCCATTTTAGCTAACCGAGAATGTATGATTTACCTTTTCTGAATACTGCAGAGGATGCATATATTGGAAACCTTAGAGGCTTTCAGTAATATGGATGTGGACAGGAACCTCCTTCAGACGCAGCGCGACTTCAATGAGTAAGTTTTCTCATGTTTATCAGTGTTCATGTGTTCTTTCTGATAATGAAATTATTTTTTGTTGCATTAAAATGTAAATAGAGCCATTGGTAACTGAATGCTTAGAACTCTCAAATGTATATTTTTCTGTGTTATTAGTAGACTTCCCCTCCTATATCCAAGTAACACAATTTGATCCAAGGGTATGGGTAGCTACAGGGTGATATGTTTTTTCGTGAATGTAGTATCTGCGTGTTGTAAGCTTCTTTGTTGTTTTATGTGATCCACCCTAATACTGGCGGTATTACTATTACCTCTTTTTGGCATTATTATTTTGGTTTGGACAATCTTTTCTGTGCTGTCTAACATGTCTTTCCTTTATTTGATTTAGGAATGACTACGAAATGTTATTGTCCCTTGATGAGAACAACCACCAACATGGTGGTTCATCTTCACGACAAATCAACAACTTGCCACAGTCAACAGTTCAGGTTACCATGATCTCCTTATTGTATCGAATCTTTACCTAAGATTAAGCTTTTGTATCGCCTTGATGATTTCCCATAATATTCAAACAAGTGTACACATAGCAGTTGTGTTCCATACGGGCATCCATCTGTTATCCACTCTAGGAACATCATTGCAATTGTAGTATTGCAAGTACAGATTTTGGTTTGCGTGCTGCTTAAAGCTGTGAGCTGCTTGAAGTACATGTTACTCACCCTCTCTAGCTCCTTGCAGAATGAGACTCTTCAAGAACCGTGTGCTGTTTGTCTCGAAACTCCAACCATAGGGGACGTTATCCGCCATCTCCCATGCTTACACAAGTTTCACAAAGACGTAAACTTCTGAATTTTCTTCTTCAGAGTGTTTTATTGTTTGGTTAAGCAACCAAATTTCTAACATTCATTGAACTTACTGCAGTGCATTGATCCATGGCTGAGTAGAAAAACATCATGCCCAGTTTGCAAGTGTTCGATATCTTAATCTGCTGTAGAGATGATATGTGGAATACATGCCTGATTTTGATACAAATCTTGTACTTTATGTTCAAGGTTGTTCAGAACAAAGTGCTTTCTTTTGCTATATGGTTTTCTTCAGTTACTTCTCTCTATACTTGATGTTAAGTGTTCCAATAGTTGGATGAATTCACCAATTATGAATGGCACATTAACCATTCAACCATGGATGCTTAGTGATAAATGGTAATAGCATTCCATTAGATAGCAACAGATTTGACGAATACTGTCAACTCTTGACGCGAGAGAATGAGGACGGAGGGATCCATTAGACAATGAAACTGTTAGTTCTCTATGTACTGATGAGTATGTTGATTCCAAGCTTCTCTTATAAAGGGATCAACTCTTTTGCATAAATCACCAAAGAAAAAGTACAGTATTTTTAGCCTAGCACCACCCTGTGATGGACAAATTCAGAGCCTGATAAGGGGCCGAACTTGAAGAGCGAAGCGAACTGTGCTAGACTAGTAATGTTTTTCAGTAGCAAGCTATGATCTAACGACCCCCAAACGATAGGTTGGAGTGAGTAATAATATTATTTACTTTTCAAATCTACTCAATGTGTTTTGAAGTTATTTTTTTCTTTTAGTAAATTTCAAGCTTAGGCATTATGAATTAGGAGTAGTGTTGAAGTCAACTTCATGGTTTTTTTTCTCTCAATTGTTTATGAAATTGTTTTTGGCTAGAAACATCCTTAAATTATACCCTCAACTTAAACTACATCCTTAAATTATTTTTCTCAACAAAAAACATCCTCGAAGTATTTAAAACTTAACAACTTTCATCCCTTTATTAAAATTTGTCAAAAAATTAGCAAATTCCATACAAAAACATATGCAGTTCATACTATTCTCATTAAAAAAATATATTTTATTACTGGTTGGAAAAAGCTTCCAAAACTTTTTTTTTTTTGAGAACCTTGTTTGCTGTTAAAAAAAAAAACAATGTTAGGATAGTGCGAGTCTACGAGGAGACATCTTTCTCCTTTACCAACTGAATGGAGTTGGAGCTTAATTTTATACCATCTTCACCTTGCAAAGTCAAGATTACGTTAGATCAATAATTTTTTTGGGGCAAACTGATAGTTGAGGTAATCAAGATTCAACTAATTTTGATCTCTAGTACTCGAGTTTTGTTTTCCATTATTAGAAGTAAAAGTATCTGATCGACACCATTTTTTATAGATTCAATGAGAAGATAATTTTTTGATATCAAATCAAATGAAAAGTAAATAAAAATAAAATTGCTAATTAAAAGGAAGACAATGCAAAACGTTGTTGCTAGAAAAAAAATCACAATTTTTATTTTAGATGCATGTAGAATGAACAAAATTGGTTTATTGAGGTGATTTAGGGAGTTTTACTGAGAGTAGAGTGAATTATACAAGTTTTTGTGAAAAAATTGTTAATTTTTGACAAATTTTAACGAAAGGATGAAAGTTGTCAAATTTTAAATAATTGAAGGATATTCTCTGTTAAGAAAAATAATTTGAGGATGTAGTTTAAGTTGGGGATATAGTTTAAGGATGTTCTTAGCCAAAAACTCTCTCAACGTTTTAGTTAAATATATTGTGCAAAAATCAAACTTATTTTTGTCTAGAAGGTGTCAATTCAATCATATGCGTCCATTTCTACCTGGTCAAAAAAAATTTATTATGTTCACGATTCTTCATCTCGATAAATAGACAAAATGCTCAAATTTGCCAATTCTGGAAATTGATTGGCAACATATCAACACGAAGTGATTCATCATGCTCAAACTCAAATATGAACCGATCGCTCGATCAGGTAAAAGGCCAATTGATTTGACAAGATGAAGTATATGTACTACATTGTATAAGGAGGAAGCTGTTTTTTATTATCATCTTCAAACCAAATTAAAGGAACACAACTGTTCTTATAATAAAAATTTTAGAGAAAGAGATCAAATTAATGCAATTCTGGAAATGATCTCTTCCAAGAAATTTCTCAAAGCTACACTTATTGTTCTTTGTAAATATTATTTAATGAAACTATTGTGTATGCCTTCCTCTCTTTAAAGAGCATCTTTAGATAGAAGGTGGTTGTGACTGTCGATTTTACGGGCATTGCGTAGCTCATCGCAGGAGTCTCCTCTTTCAAAGACTGCAGCAGCACCCATTCCAGTGCCTGTTGTGAAATGCAAAAGAACATGAGCGAACCATACAGAAGATTTGATGAAGGATTTCATTTTGGGCATTGGGTGTGCGAGAGAGCAGAGTAAGGAGGAAAAAAGATTACCTATGCACATAGACACCACACCAAAGCGGCAGTCTTTTCCACGACGCTTCATCTCATGTAACAGCGTTGCAACACACCGTGCACCTGTTTTGACAATAGAGAAAGCATTTCTCATCAGGATAATCATTGATGTGAATAGTTACTAAGGCTAACAAGAACATGCAGAGAACCGTCCCAATGCCGTATTAAGAGTGGTTCAGATGTGGAAGAGGCCCTATGTGTAAAACATTCATTGATCTGATAAGATCGTTGTTAGAGCCAACTGTAGGACAATATATCATATGTCTAAACTCATAAAAATAGTCGTGGTACAAAGCATACTCATAGATGACACTTGAATTTAAGTGTTGTAATTACTACCGTATGAAATGGTCAACTTTACCTGTAGCGCCCAAGGGATGCCCGATTGCCATTGCACCTCCATTGACATTGATCTTCTCTGGGTCAAGTCCAAGCTTCTTCCGGCAATAAACAAATTGTGATGCAAATGCCTAAACAAAAATCATAGTCAAGAAACTGTACAATGCATTGAAGACGAAGAGCTGATGAATTTATGCAAATTACCTCATTTATCTCAAAGAGATCAATATCTTCAAGTTCAAGGCCTGCAGATTTGACAGCAGCTGGAATTGCAACAGCTGGACCAATTCCCATAATGGCAGGGTCTACACCCACGGCAGCAAAGGTTCTGCATGAACAGTGGGAGTTAGTTCTCTTTTTAAGACGAATACCAATAATAGAACAAAGATGCAAAAACTATACAATCTTTACCAGACTAAGGTCAGGCATGAGAAGGAAATGTAAAGGAACCCAATAAGCGTAAAGGAAATGATTAAGACTTTCTGACAGTAAGTAATGTTACTGTAACTACATATAGCATGTGAAAATTAGAAAGGGAAAGACCTGAATACACCAAGGATAGGAAGTCCCTTTTGCATTGCAATGCTTCTTTTCATTAGAAGTACAGCTCCAGCTCCATCAGTTACTTGGCTGGAATTCCCTGCAGCAAAAGAAGATAACTTCATTAACCAAACTCCAACTTAAAATTACATTCGAACTTGAAAACTATTAAATTACCAGCAGTAGTAGTTCCACTTTTCTTGAACACTGGTTTCAATTTTGCCAAGTCTGACACACTGGCATTTGGTCGTATTCCATCATCAACAGAGATGGTTACTGGTTTCTCATCTCCAGTTTTTGGGTCAACAATCTTATAGAGAAGACAGAAGAAACATAAGAGGGTATAGTTGATATAGCTATTACTAGATTCCAAGTGATCAAAATTTAGACGGATGCTACCTTTGTGGCTACAGGAATTATTTCATCCTTGAATTTTCCAGAAGCAGTGGCCGCAGCAGCCTTACGATGCGAATCAACCTAGCAGCAGAAATAAAAATGAGATGTGATACACATCAGATAGACATGATCATAAGTTGATGGGTCTATTAAACTTACCGCAGCCTGGTCTTGTTCCTGCCTTGTCACACCAAAGCGATGTGCAACATTCTCAGAAGTAATGCCCATAGGAAGAAGACAGTCCTGAGCTTGTACCATTGTCTTGACCTGAGATCAAATGTTACAGGTTATGACAATCTTCCAGTAGGACTCATCTCCAAAGAAAATAAGCCCGACAATATGTAACAAAAAGTGTAACAATATGCTTCAATAAAACAAAGACATACTTTTGGGTTGACTGATCCTTCCCAAGCCATTGGGTTTGTGGTCATAGACTCCAATCCAGCACCAATACCTGATTTGTGAGTGGTAAGTTAACCAAAAAAATAGAAATGGGAAAAACACCATATACATGGTATACAGCTACAGTGCACTTGTAGTAAAAAGAAACGGTAACACACCAATGTCATAAAATCCAGCTTTAATAGCTGCAGCTACATCAGCAACTGCTTGAAGGCCTGATGAACATTGTCGGTTTACAGTTCTAATTGGCACGGTTTCTGCTCGAGAGAAAGAGAACTTAGCATCTTGAAACAAGAACCTCATAAATAAATGACGAAAATTAAAAAACCACCTACCAGGAAAACCAGCATAAAATGCAGCCATCCTGCACTCGCTTGCCCTCTGGGAACCTGGGGCCAAAACCGAGCCGACAACAATATCCCCAACTTCACTAGGGTTCACATTAGTCTTTTCAATCACCGCCTGTAGTGAAGATGTAAAGAAAGAATACAGGTAAATATCTTTGATAATCTTGGACATCAATCACAACTCAGCTTAGTGTAACCCACCTTTAGAACTGCAGCAAGTATATCATCAGGATAAGTATCCTTGAAGCCTCCTTTCTTTGCTTTGCAAAGAGGAGTCCTATATGCACTGCAATAAACAAATAGGTTCTCACAGTAAGGATACCATTGGGAAATGAAAAGTTGCAACAAGAACATGAAAAATATGAAAAAGCCAAGAGAGCAGGGCAAAGCTGTAGCTCGAGTATCAACTCAGAAACTAAATCTAGAGATGTCATCGGCTATAACAACTTACGCAACTATGACAACATCATCACCAAAAACAGAGGTTCTCTGGTAAGCAGCACTGTCTCCAGCAGAGCATACAGATGCCTGGTTGAAAATTGAAAGAACATAAGGAACAAAGATATAATGTATTACTTTTTAAAACACCAGATGTTTGAAATTAAGACAACCCTGTTTACTACTCAAGAAAGCAATAGACTTCTCATCAAACCTCGGATTCACAGTGCAATGAGTATTCAAGAACAAGCCAATTAACCAAAAAACAGGACTCAAGGATTACAATAATACACTATAAGATCAACTGAATATTCTTGTAGTTACTAAACATATAATTGTCATATTTTGTAACAGGACGAACATGATAATGTCACATCCACCATTGGACGTCTAGGATTCACGGTCTTTTAACTGATCAATCATAAAGTATTCCCTTATATCTAAGAAAAACACAGTAACTTGAGAAGTCTATTATGTAGTTACTAAATTTTTAGCTGTGGGGAGTTGGTGGGTTCCTTCACAGTTCACACAGCACAATCAATTTGTCAGCAGATTGCAACTTCTAAATTTTTTTAAACAAATCTACTTCTGTTTTTCCCAAGACACCAATTAATATACTTCTGCGCTTAACTCAGAGAACCAGTTAAACTACCATTGAAATTAACAAGTCAAGCTATGTATCCATTTTCTACATTGGTAATTTTCCTAACAATTTGTAGGTTTTTAAACATCAAGAAAAAAAAAAACAAAAAACTAGTAGCTTTAAAAGTAGAAAGGGCACACCTTAATTAGGAAAAAAATGACCTTAAAAGGTATACATGTCATAGGCTTTCTGTTTTCCAATTATAGTATTTATTACAACTGTAACAAATTGCATTCCCAAAAAAGATGGTAAAAATTAATAGGCCATCAGATCTGCTGATCTGATGAAATAAAAATTCCATAACTGTATTAGAAGCACTATACAATAATTGATGTTGCCCCTAACCAAAACATGAAGCAATTAATAGCTTCTTATCTCTAGACCATCCACCTATGAACCAAATTAAGCTCTGTACCTAAACAAAAACTTCTACTACACCATAACCACAAAGACAAAAACTACTACTACACCATAGCCACAAAGACTTAAACATTCCAACAACAACATAGCAAGTGAAATCCCACAAGTGGGGTCTCGACCTCGTAGAGATAGATAAGCTTAAAGACTTGAACTTTCAAACAACAACAACATAGCCCGTGTAATCCCACAAGCCGGGTCTCAACCTCGTAGAGATAGATAAGCTTAAAGACTCAAACTTTAATCAAAACATGTTAAAACAAACCAATAAAAACCATATACAAATCTGGAAACATAAAACTTCCTCTTAAAACATCAAATCGATCAAAATCAACCATACCCATATCAAAAAACCAATCATGAACACTCCGATTAACACAACTAAACAAATCAAATCCAAAATTAAACAGAAAACACAGATCAAAACACACCCAATAACCAAAAAAAGTAAAAAACTCAATAACAAACACAAATCAAAAACAAAAACCAAAACACACCCACATCACTAAATTGAAATCAAACCACAAAACCAAATCAAAATCGGAAAAAAAACACTCACAGATATAGATGATTCAATGTTTTCCAAAGAAGAAGACGTCTGTGAAGGACGTAGATGTTGAAGAAGAACTCTTTGTCTCTCGATTGCTTTATCCATAATTGTTAATCTCAGATTTCAAAGAATTGATGATCCAATACAATGAGCTGAATTTTCTACTCTCTCTGTATATTTATATATAGCGAAGAGAAAGGCGGTTCGGTCTGTATTGGAATTCGCAAAATTAAGAAAAAACGTGTAAGTTTATCTAAAAAAGATGGGTTGAATAAACAAAGATAAGAGTTGGTGACACTATTCGGATATTTTTTTTTGGGACTTAGGGAGCTAAATGACAATTTTTTTACGGAATATTTTATTCATAAAATCAAATAATTCGTAAATATATTTTTCACTAAAAATTGTTAGTAGTATCTCCTTCGTTTACTTTTAGTTGTTATAATTTTTTTTTTTTTGGAGCAAATTATAGTACGTTTCGTATAGTTTTTAAATATCTAAATTTTTTATTTAAAATATGAAATTAATGTAATCTAATTTAAATTTAAAAATTAATCAAATTAATTTTCGATAAACGCAAAACAATTAAAAAAGGACGAAATGAGTATATATTAGTATATCCTTTATTTTTTAGTTAGAAACTAGAAAACTTATTTTGATATTATAATTTAACTATAAATCATAACGATATATGAATTAAATAAATATTAAATTTTAATTAATTTTGATTTCTTAAAATTTCAAATTATTTTTTTCAATAATTTCGTTTTATTCACTCTTATTTGGCTATTATTCCTTTCATCCATTTTTATTTATTTATGTTTGATATATCACTTATATTAATTCTAAGTTATTTAAATGTTGAGAAAAAAATAAATAGTGTTGAATAACAAGGAAATAATAGATGCAAACTGACAAATTATTGATTCATTTTTTAAATTGAATAAGTAAAATCAGATAATTATTTTTAATGTATTGGACAAATAAAAACGGATAAGGGTCTGAAAAATACCTCAACTTTGATCGAATTTGCTGTTGCGATACTAAACCTTCATGAGGACCTATTACCGACTATTTAATAACGTATTTTAAACATATATATTTGCCCACGTGGACATTAAAAATAATGTAAAATTATAAATAGTAATGTATCCACGTGAACACATATATACCTTTAAAATACATTATTAAATAGTTTAGGGGGTAAAAAATACGGTATTAAATAGTCTAGGGAGGTAATAGGTCCTTATGAAAGTTTAGTATCGCATCAACAAATTCGACCAAAGTTGAGGTATTTTCCAAACCCTTATCCCAAATAAAAATAGACATAGTTTTAATTGGTACTTTAACAGTATAATTGATAAATAAAAGTGAACATAAAGGGTAAAATTAGAATATTTATTTTTTAATAGTGCGACAATTAATATGAAATATATTTTGTATCTACGAGACAATAGTAAGATCTGCATATTCAGACTCCGTTGGTTGAGTTCCACACGTCATTGGTGAGAGTGGTCAAGAGAATGTCTTGAGATGCGTGCCCAATTGGGCAAAACGATAGAATTTTCAAATCAGTTCCAATTTTAGCTAAAATGGACAAGATTAACAGGTCTGATTTAATAAATCAGTTGGGGAAAAACCATTAATATAGATGATTAGGAAGCTCTTTCTATTAAATCATAGTTGGACCACTAGGTGTCGAAAATTTATTGATTCGATTAATTTATATAGCATAGTATTTAAAAAAATTGTGCATTTAAAACACATTTTATTAAAGATTAATGTAGTTGTATGTAAATCAAGAGCGATAGCTGAGTCAAAAAGTCTTCTAGACTTATTATTAAGACTAATGGATTAATTATATTCATTTTCCTATTATATTTTTTAAAATATTGTGTTTATTCTATTCAAAGGGTGATATAATAAAACTATTCTTTTATTTATAGTTTTTAAAAAGTGTGTAAAATCAATAGTAGACAAGTATTGTTAGACAGAGGGAATATTATTTTTGTTAACAACATTTAACGAATCCGACGATTAGATGCTTCAACCCTCATTGAATGACAACTCACTCGCGGAAGATAAGAATACATGAAATTTTATTTTATTATGAGCGGATTGTATTCATTGAGCAAATATATTTATTAATTAAAGGATGGACAATGATCAAATCCATTTCTCGATTCACTTGAAGAAGAGAATATGATCTCAATAGAGATGTGTTAAAAATAGATCCGATTACACATATTTTTTAATTCTAAATGGAACCTAGGAAATTCATGTGTAAGCATCGTATCTATTTAGATAGGTCTGAATGGTCCTTCTCATCATAATGAGAATGTATATAACCCTATCCATGTATAAACATTGTATATCTCTTAGATAGGCAGTTTGGACAATTGCATGTCAAGTTAAACACAAAACCAATAACAAAGGGGGGCAAGTGAAGTAATTTGGAAAGGTAATCTTGTATATCAATTCTTTCGGAAACAGACTCTCTACCTCCACGAGGTAGTAGTAAGGCCTGCGTACACGACCCAACTTGTGGGATTTCACCAGGTATGTTGTTGTTATCTTGTATATCAATTATGCATCCAATGTTCAAAATGATGTGCTATTTCATCATTTACACACACAGGAAGCTGGAAGTTTTAACAGAAAGGACAATGACTATACTTTTTTTCTTTCCTATAAAACTTTTCTTTACACAAGCATTGACTGTACAATTTCATGTCCTTACTCGAGTCTTTGGCTGGAGCGCTTGTGACATAGCGCGAAGTCTGTTTGTTATCTCTGTAAATGACGGTCTTGCTTCTGAATCAGGCGACCAGCACTCTTCCATCAGTTTTCCCCATTCAGGATCACAACGTTGAGGGACGGGAGGTCTGAGTGTGTTATTTACAATTCCACCTTCATCCACAATTCATAAAATGAGTTCAAATCTTCAAGCTTGCACAAAAACTCTCAAATGTACTATTTGTTCATCTTCATGTGTGTGGAATTTTAACTTACAACGGAAAAGCAGAGGAAAGAACAAATGAACATACTCCCTCCGTCCCAAAAATAATGGCGAGCAAGGTCAATGCGTCTAAATTCTTGTGATAATTGAGATATTGAAATGTTTTACGGTATAAGAATGCAACTTTGGACTATTGACAGTGTAAAGACGTGTTTTATCATCGAAAGGCAGTTGCAAGCCTATTCTTAGAATACCATAAGTAGGCACTAAATTAGCTAGAGTACCATCTAGAAGCTTACCAATAATAGCACCACAGTGCAGGTTTGCATAAGGCTCCTCTCCTGTCAAGATCTCCCACATTGTGATGCCAAACGAAAACACATCAACCTATCAAACGGATTAATGACATTACTTCATAACTGGGATATAAACATTCTTCGTGGTCCAGTTTGAAGTTAAGCATATTAAAATAGAGATCTTACCTTTTCTGAAACCCGACTGCTGTTTCCATTCAATAGCTCCGGGGCCATCCATGGAAGTGTTCCTCTAACACCACCCGAAACAAGGGTATTTCTCTTAATCCGTGATAACCCAAAATCACCAACCTGAAAAATTATGTGTCAATCTTGAAACTAATACGTTGCAACAGACATGAACCACTTCACATCTTCCAGAACTTAAAATTTGCTGGCTACTGGCTATATACCAGATAAAGTAACACTTGAGAGAAGCTTGGTATTTTATAATCGAAGCAGACACACATTTGAACCTTTACCTTGCACACAGGACGATGTGGATCTCCCAAGTTGACCAGCAAGTTTTCACATTTCAAATCGAAATGAACAATATTTTTCAAATGCAGGTACTCCATGCCAAAAGCAGCATCTAATGCAAGCATAAGTTTTTTTCGCCGATCAAGCGCTCTGCAAGAACTGAGTAATTCCATAGGTCATATTCCGGAAAAAGGCAACTAGTTTCTTCAATCAAATTTTTTGAATGTGACTAGTGTCATGGGCGAAAAATATTGGAACTACAAATAAGTGAAAATGAGAAGTAGCAAAGTTACCGGTCCTTCCTAGCCAGGACATTCCTTAGAGACCCATTGACCATATATTCAGTAACTGTAGCCACTGTTCCACCAGGTCCATTTGGAACCACCCCATAGAGTGCCACTATATTTGGATGGTGTAGTTTAGAGAGAATCTTAGCCTCTCTCCAGAATTCTTTGATCTGCAAAAGTAATTAGACACTTACCAATAGAGGATTACGAGAAACATTTTTTCTTCACTTTAGAATTATTAACTCGACAAAGAATTAGTCAGTATGGTTGATTTCTTTATGAGTAACTTCTCTTAGCATGCTTTAGGAATGTTATATTTCCATCCATATCTAAATGTAACTTGATTCTATGAATCTGAGTCACGCCTACCAGACGTTCTTGCTCAGATGAACTCCCAGCAAAACAACTTTGTTTTATTCTCTTGATAGCAACATCTGTTCCCCTCCACTTCCCATAATAAACTGTTCCATATGTTCCAGATCCCAATTCTTGTAGCTCTTCAAGATCACTGTTTTTTATGATCTGCGAGTAGTAACGCACTGATTTAGTTCAAATTGAGAAAAACCTATCTGTCAGTGATGTAAAATATTAATAAGGAAAAAAAGGCAAATAAACATTTCAACTGTCCCATTAATTGAGTTATACACACAACTACCTATGGCAGCTTATGACCACAAAAAGCTTAAACATTAAAATGAAACAGAAGTTTCTGAAAAATTAAGTGCATATTTAACAGTGTATAAAAGGGAAGACACTTTCAGCATTCTTGAAAAGAACTGTCTCATCAGTATTTTATTGCCTTATTCATGCCTTCCTGTTTATAAAATATGAATGGAAAGTGAGAAATATGAATGTTATTCTGCAGACTTCCTCATGTGATATTCATATGTGGTATCTGGTGTAGTCTACTCCCAGGGGTCGAGCTGTAGAGCAAAGGGTTTCAACTGAATCTCTTTCGTCTGAAAATTCTACTATGTAAATAAGTAAAAACGACTTCTTTTTTGGTCATATACAAACGTTTGAGTCCCTTTGACATAAGGGAAGATTCTAGTGTAGTGGCAAAGGAGTTCGAAAAATGCTTTAGATTATAGGTTCAAATTCTAAATGTGATATTATAGTACTTCTTTTTAGTCCCCTTACATAAATTTCTGGCTCTGCCACAGTCTACTCCTTCATTCACTATGATACAGTAGGTAAAGTACTGAGCTTGAAAGATCAAATGCATAAAGAACACAAGATATCAGGCTTTGTACCTCAGGAAGCATTTTTATTCAGCAATAAGGGATAAAAAAGTAGCATTCACTACATATCAAAAACAAATATTAGATTTCATCTTCTAATGGAATTAGCTCTGGACCTGTAAGCCATAGATCCCAGCCTCCTTTTCAATGATCGCAGAATCAGAGACAGATTCTTCCTTTCCATTAGAACCATTTCTGTCATCCTACAGATTCATAAACTGATCAAGTTTCATAAAACATGAGAACTGATGCCAATGACTCAAGAATTATTACCTCATGATCAGATTCTTCAAGAACATTCTCGATGTTGGTTTCTTCTTCAGCAGATGGAAGCCCATCACTAGGTTCATCTTCCACATGTGGAACTATTGTTGAAGATAAGGGTATATCAGGAGGCACACTATCGGTTACATCTTCCACAATAACAGCAATTTCTCGTAATTTTCTGTCATATGAATCATCTGACTGCTGCAAATGGAGAAACGAAACATTTCCAGATGCTGTCTTTTCATAAGCAACTCTATCAGCAGTTTCTTTTTCTGCAGACTTATGAGGACCATCCACAAGTTTCTGATGGAAAGAGACCTCATGAGTGTAAGCCACATCTGCAGCTGAATTTGGAATTGATATATCACCAGTCAGGGGATTTCTCCAATCCAAATAAAAAATAGACTCCTCAGATGGAAATGGCACAGATTGTATGTTTTGGAGGTCTTGAGTATAAGGTGCTGTTATGTGAATTATATCGTCATCTATGTGGTGCTGTTTGGAAGTGACTGTTGAATTCTTTTGAGGGATAGGTGGTGAAGAAGTGTGTCTTTCCACTTGGATTTTGGGATCTGATGATGATGTGTAGACACTAAGTTCCGGCTCCGAGTAGCATATAATTTTTGGCAATTTCAACTCATGTTCCAGGCCATTAACAGTTGGTATATTGCTTGCATTAACCTCAGAGCTTCTACTGCACTTGTTGAAAGGAGGACATGTCTTCTTTATCCAATTTGTTGTACTTTGACTCCATTCAGCATACTCTTGGTTGCGTTCTCTGGCTTCTATATTTGGCTGATTCTCCTTCTTGGAAATTAGATGATTTTTATCTCTCACCTCATGCTCTTTCGTTGACCATTCTTGCGATGAACAAGACATTGCAAGTGATGGAGATTTTTCTCGTAGAAAATCTGAAGGGGGTGAGCTTGTTGAATCTTCTCTGGATAAATTGGGCCTCTCTACCAACTGTGCTTGATCAATGGCATCTTGTTGCATGCTGTAGCCAGATGTAGCTTGAATATCAGATCCAGGAGACATTCTTATATCTTGAGAATAGTTTAGCTTTTCTATATGCATTTCCCTTTTGTTTGACATTAGCCTCCTAGAATCCAACTCTGTTTGACCAAACGGTGCAGAAGACACAGACTGTTTACTAGGGTAATTTGTCCTTGGAGTGGTCTCGAGTGGACAATTATAATAGTAGCCTGTCGTATCAACATGATAGGAATTTTCATATAGTGGTTCCTCTACTACATATGGACTACCGGCATCAGGAAAGTCAATGCTTGCAACGTTATCATTTAAAAGGACATGGGAACGGTTAGGATCAGTGATCTGAAATGTCGCTGGAGATAAAGGAGATGGTTGAACATATGAAGTAGAGGGGACCTGAGATATGTTAACATAAGAAGAACTGGGATTTCGGAGCAGAAACTTCACATTCATTGAATTACCTCCATGATGGTTCTCAAATGGGAGATAAGTTGGGGAATCTCTTTGGCACATAGGACTAAAGTCCAAAGTGTTTCCAAATTGACTTGCTTGGTTTGCAAAGGTCTCCCTGCTAGAGCTTCTACGATGACCTGGCTCAAGCATTCCGTTTACTGCAACAACATACTGATAGTCAGCTTCACTTTGCTGTAATGTCATTCCTTCAAAGGAACAAGAGACCTCAGAATCAGCACAAGGCACAAGAAACAACCGTAGCCTTTGAGAACTTTTTCCCAAGTCATGATATTCCTCAATCATGTGCTGAAGATCCTCATCGGATGAAACGGATACAAGTGCATCAAGATCTTCTTCAGGAAGCTGATACTTAATTGTATGAGGTTGATTACAAATTGCTATTGTCTTTTTTACAAGCTCGTTGAAAGCTAGGTTCTTCCTAATTGATATAATTCTCGTCTCCCCACCTACATATCTAAGCTTCCCATCATTCGGCCTTGGTAAGATTCTACCCCCATAGCTGCAGAGTAATCTCATCTTTCCACCCCCACAACTCTCAGAAACTCCTGCCTCAGGGTTGCGGACTTGATGTGAATGAGGGGACTCTGATGCATAAATGTCTCGACCAGTTGTGCAAGGAGCTACTATATCTCTATTCCTCTCATCGAAGAATCTTGATGGTTGTTGTCCACTGACACTACAGTCCCTGTTACATCTGCTTGCTGTGTCAAAATAAGTCTTCTTGTCACCTTCCGGTGCATATGCTATCCTAGGAGAATAATCCGAAAACTCGGCACCACAGTCTGAATCACTTCTTTTTATCCCAAGGAGGTCATGAAGCTCCTTAGAGACAACGTGGCAATTTTGAGCGGGATTTGAAATACCTATAACTGGCTGATTTTGGTCTGTATCTCTTGTTATGTTTGCTTTTCTTGGTGTCAAACTTTTCATAAGAAACTCTTCTGAAAACTCTTCGCCTGTCTGCATGGATACATGTCTATACCTATCATCATGATTTTCAGTAAGCGGAACATTATTGCCAACGTTTTGGCCAGAAATTCCACAAGACTCACTAGTCATGGTCTATACTTAGCTGTACAATATCCTCTCCTTGTACTTTCACCTTTACTTCTCAAATTCATAACCAAATGTACAAGAGCTTCTCGAAACTACAGCAACGAGCTCGCTCGTGACCCCAAAATAAATTAGTCTATGTACAAACTCAATCCAAAAGGGTATTTGTGGAGTTAGCCTCTATGCTTCCAACACTCTTCAAACACCACATGAGAACCAACTGAACAACCAGAAACAAAAAGGTTATTCACTAAATAATTTGGTCAACTAAAGTCTAGATTCATTACAAATACTTTTCATATTCACACAAGATGTACGTTCTTTTTTTTCTTTTTACTTGAGCCGAGTATCTTTCATAAACAAACTCTCTACCTCCGCGAGGTAGAGGTAAGGTCTACGGACACCCTACCCTCCCTCCCCTCCCCAGACCCCACCTGGTGGGGTTACACCGGGATGTTGTCGTTGTTGTTAATGTAAATCCTCTTTTTTTACCAGCAACTACATACATACCTAAAATGCAATTACCCACAAAATATTTTTCATACTTTCACAGCACAATGTGAGTCCACAGCAGCTATACAACAACAATAAACCCAGTAAAATGCCAAAAGGTGGGGTCTGGGAAGGATAAAGTGTACGCAGACCTTACCACTACCTCTTCGAGGTAGAGAGGCTGTTTTCGAGAGACCCTCAGCTCAAGAAAATCAAAAGAAAAACAAGACACCTAAAATACAATTACCCACAAAAACTAATCAATTATCACATAAGAAGGGACAAGTTCACCATTCAGAAGAAAAAATCAAAGTTTCCAGAAACATTAACACAAAAAGTCAGCAAACAATTGATAAAGACACAATCTTTTCCAAACCCCACAAACATAAATTGCAATATGAACATTCCCAATTCAAAAATGAGGATTTTTTCTTCTTTTTCCATACGGGTAAATGATAAAAATTAGTTCTTTAGCCAAAAAATACCTTTTTTTTTTGTTCTTGAAATTGAGGCATTGAAGATTGGTGTATTTTTGGAAAAAGGGGTTCCAAAAGATTAAAAATGGAAGATGAAAATGGATGTTTTTGATATGTGAGGTAAAGGTTGATGATGTTGATGATGAAGAAGGGGAGAGAGAAGAAGAGGATGTTGTAAAAATGCAGAGCTTTCGGAATATCAAAAGAGGGAGAAGTGGGAGAGCACCATTGCTTAGAATTACGCGGCATCAACTTAGGACCCAACTATATTATGAATATCCCACCCCACCCCCACCACATAGCCGTCTCATTTCATTTCATGTGTCTTAATATTACGCGACATATATTTTAAGTATATTTTATTTTTATATAAATCTTGAATTTGAATATACATCTATAAAATTTTATAACACATTAAATTATAAAAAGATATATAATGATCGGTGGAGATAATAGCTGGTGTCGATGGTTTTGGGTATTGAGGATGGTGTCATGGCTAGTAGTGGTGTTGTGTGTAGTAGTTTATAGCTAATGGTGATTATAGTAGTGATTGATGGTAATGATTGATAGTTGTGTTGGACAGTAGTGACGGTTAATAGTGGAAGTAAGTGGGCATTGATTGACGTTTTATAGTGATGACCAATAGTGGTGATTGTGTATAGTAATTTGTAGTTATTATGATAAAGGCAATTATGATTGTAAATGATGGTTAATGTCGGTGATGCTTGATTGTAGTTAGTGGCAGCAATGGAGATTGTGCGATGATAATTGATAATGATGGGTGATGGAGATAACAATGAAGGGATGAAATCAATGAACTATCATCATTGTAGAAATTTTTGGATAAACATCTTGACGATACTAATTGTTTGTTATAAATATTAATCATTCAGACCTAAAGTAATACTAAAAAAAAAGCACACTTAGGGGTCGTTTGGTAGAGTGTATTAGGAAAAATAACGCATGCATTAGCATTGTGTATTACTAATACCTTGTTTGGTACTCTTTTCCAACCTATGTATAACTAATGCTTGCATTAGTTATACACTCTATTGTGTATTAAGGTGTGTATTGCTAATACTATGGATTTCTAGGTATTAGCAATGCAATGGTTTTAATGCATGCATTATATTAACTATTGACAAAACTACCCTCTAATTATTATTATTTTTATTTTATTTTATTTTATTTTTTTATTTTTGTAAAAGAATGTGGGGGTATTTTTGTAAACAAATATTTTTTTTAATAGTCTTTATACAAGGCTTGCTATTTTCAATACATCAAACCAAACAATGTATAAGAAATAATGCAAGCATTACTAATGTTTGCATTACTAATGCATGCATTACTAATACATCATATTCAGCATTATTCTTATACATTCTACCAAACGACCCCTTAATTGTTAAGATTTGAATGTTAAAAAAACATCCTTAACATTTTGCATAATTATGAAAAATATGAAAGATTTGCATCCAGCAGTAAATTAATCACACAAGAAACAGAAAACTTCAGGGCAAATAACATTAAAATTACAGTCAAGTAGAGCATATCTCTAAAGATACATAGTACAGCCAGCTGCTGTACATCTTGTTGTACATATGATACCTTCCCCCAAACCCCCAAAAGAAGAAAACGAAAACGAAGAGGCCATGGAACTAGATGTAAACCAAAAGATGGGAATAATGCAGAAGGGGGCTAAACGCGACCATCCCACAGGCACTCATTGCGAACTTTGTTAGACCTTAAAAGGCGCTCCACGTCTGTTGGAGGGTTCATTCCAAGTTTCTTGGCACGCTCCCATCTGTCCAGTCTGTTCATTCCAAGGCATGGCCCATAAACCATATTCATATCGAATTGCCTCAACACTTCCTCATTCTGATCATAATTATCTGCAGTTTTGGCAATAGCAAGGCACACAAAAGCTACCTCTTTCAGATCACGAAATATTAGGGAAAAAAGAGAGAGAACCAGAACTTTCAGAATTGAAAAAACCCCACTATCTTTTGTAAGCACAATACCAAAAACAGAGAGATTATATTTCGTGCCTGGTGGACAGATGTTTCCATACTTACAGGTTGATTATATAATTCGGCAACTCTTCTGGCACATTATTTTCTACTTGAAGTAGTGGCAACTTCCTAATTGCTAAACCATAGAAACAAAGTGACAAGCAAATTTCAGCAGCCACTGTTTTGATACATCTAGTACTAATTCATGGTTAAAACGAGAAAATAACAACTTTGACCTCTTAAATCCCCTACCACCCCTAAAAAGAATATAGCCAATGTTCCATATGATATTATTATGCCCAAAAAATCTTGACAAATTGGTTCTCTTGAATCAAAATTTCATATACAATGTCGCTAATTAATTAAAAGTATGAACTTCTAATGTTAGTATGGCAAGGCATAGGCATAAGGACTAAGGCAAGCATTCAACAAGAGAGACACCAGTTTTTTAGCGAGTTCAACATCATTGAATCGACAAAAACAGACGAGTTTTTCTTCTGAAAAAAATCTGTTTATGCACACTCTTCAAGCATTTTTCAATTATTCATCACAAATATGGCTTCTAATATTTTACAGGAATAAAGTATCTTAAAGAAAATATTCAAACAAAACGGAAGAAGAATATATGAAATGAGATAATTGGCCGTAAGTGGAAGACACAGAAGAGAAACTAGTCTACCTCGTAACTATCAGATCTTGGGAAAAGCTATCTTGTTACCTTGGAGTATATCTCCTTTAGACTACCTTTTTTACCAAGTGACTACTATACAAAAAGCGTCTTTCTTTTTTTAATAAAAGTGGTGTTGAGTTGAGCTTTAGCACACCTCGACTATACCACCTTACTTACTGAGTAACTATTTTACCAAAAATTATTGAGTACTCCTAGTCCCTAGTCAGTCAATACTGATACAAGAACAGCTGCACCCCCAACCAACATGAGAGTAGGTTATAGACTATCCACCATCTCGCTTGAACTTTAGCTTAAAGAGACTCGCCAACTCTAACGAATGGAAATATAATATAGTAAAACCTCAAAATACAAGGATCAACCTCCCTAAAAATTTACATAATTCAAACAATGTTTTATTCGTTTCCATTTTTTCTTCCAAAACTATATCAAAGTCAACAATTTGCTAAGCTAGTCGAAAGTCCCTCCTCAACCATACCTCAAAAACAAACCTGTAAAGGTGTCCCTTTTCTCACAAAGCAACACAACAAGTACACACATATCAAATTGTTTGAGACTGAGACGAAGTTGTTGTTGCTGTCTTCGACGTTTTAACCTCATAGTAATCATTAATTTTGTGGTTTAGTTTGCAATAAGGACTATAGAGTATCTAGTTGCAGGAACCCCTAATTTGTAATAAACCAAAGCAAGATTCCAATAAAGGGCCAAAAAGGGTCAGCAAAACTCAAAGCACCAAGCATGTGAACAAAAAATAAAACTCCTAATTCCCCTCAAACAAAAACAGATAAAGAAGATTAAACAAACCCTAATACCAAAATTAAGAAGTACCCAATACGCAATAGAGTTAAAATCGAAAAGGGGTGAAGGAAATTGGTGTTTTAGATTGAAAAAATCTGACCTTTCAAATCAAGAGAGCCATGGGAGATGAGGGCTGAAGGCTGAGTAACATTAGAACCAATAGCTGCAGCATTTTTTGGTTTAGTGGATTTTGATTTCAATGGTTTTGTGATGCCACCACTCTTCTTCTGCTGCTTGTAGAAACCTTTCATGCTCGATTTCGACGCCATTGTTTTCTCTGAGATTTTCAAATTTTGAATTTGTTCTTGTTGAAGAAGACGAAGTTTCTGTTGAGTATTTTTGAGTTAATATGTTGGATTTTGGGCCAAATAATTGGGCCTCTTCTCTTTTGAGTCCATAAAAGATTGATGGATATGTTGGGTTTTCGATTCGATTTTGTACATCCCTAATCTATAGGATAGTTTTGAATTTTTTACCTCGCTTAACTAATATGTAACGAAGTAACTTTTTGATCTCATCGAGTATAAGTTGTGAACATGACTTAGTTTTTGTTTATGAGTTATTGGTTCGGGTTATTTCAATATAGTGAAC